TGCTTGAACTGGACATAGCAATAGAAATAGAACTAGCAATCGCATTCGTAGTATCAGTTCTGGTGGTGGTAGTAGCAGTAGTAGTAGTAGTAGTAGTAGTAGTAGTAGTAGTAGTAGTAGTAGTAGTCAGTCAGCTGGCCAACGGCTTCTTGCCCCTTAAGCCTGGCGCCTGAAGTGCGCCCTAGACCCTAAACTGACTCATGAGCCTTAAACCTATAATCCTAAATCAGCCCTTAACTCCACACCTAAAGCCCTGACACCCGTTTAACCCAACCCCCGCACGAAAAGTACTGAAGAAAACCCAAATCCTGTAACGTGTCCCACCCAACGGGATGTCAGTGTGGATTTCGAGAATGCGTGAATTTGCCGCTTGCCTCCCTCACTTGCACCCAACGTCTTGAACTTAGCTTGCAAACCGAACCACCAAACTCCAACCACAAACCCCAGCCCAAGAAGAATGCGAACCGTGCACGGAAACGGAAATCCCAAAACCTGCACAAAGGTCAAAGGTTGCACAAGGCCGCCTCTGCTCAAATCCACGCAAACGCGGCCCGCACACAAACAGCGCACAGAACGGTCTAAATCCAAACCCCACTCAACCCGCAACCATAAACTGCCCGAAGCCCTAAGCTGAAATCTACGACCTGCGTAAACCCGGACACCAACTGAATTCGCCTCTGCACTAAAGGTAGCCCCACACACACTTTCAAACCATGAGCAGGCAGGCTTCTAAACGGCGAACTGTTCGCACGTTCGTGTACTCCCGATTTCGCACTGTGCGTGTTTGCACGCGTCGCGGGAGGCGAGGTCATCTCTGGCCGATGCCTTCGGCAGATCGTCTCGCGTCGGATCTTGCGTCCACGCTTTGCCTCGGGAACCAGGCTTGCAGGCTGCAGGATGGGCATGTCCCACAGCAGATGCCAAGACCGGCACACTCACCGTGGCCGCTGCACTGGAGATATCTGGGAATGTCCTTGAGGCAAGAGTCGAAGAGACGATCCCATCAAAAACACTCTGCGAGGCCCAGTTCAGGCATCGGCCAGCGCACACGGATTCAGCTGTGTCGTTTCGAGTCCAGGCGATTCAAACTGACCGAGAGTGCTCCATGTCATGTGCAACACCCAAGACAGAACCAGACACCACGAAACACAGGGACCTTGTAGTTCTCCAAGTAGCTGGTCATGTTCTGCCAGTAACCTGTCTCGTGCCTTCGTTGTCGGGTAGATGTCCCAAGAAGGCAGATTTGGCAAAGCTACGGAGCCGGCGTAGGGATCATGGATGAGCATCCCTGCAATGAAACCTTCCGGCACGGTCGTTTCACAGCGCGTGTGAGAGGGCCAAGGAGCATCACAGCGATTGACGCCCAAATGCAGCCCAAGATCACTCGTGGCCAGACCCGTAAGAATGAGTGTCCTCAAGCAGACCGCGGCCTCAATCCTTTCAACTTTCTGATACTTACAACAGCAAGCAGTCTCCTTCTCGGGATTCTGCCACTTACATCCATAGAGATGGAACCTGCGAGACAACGAAAGCTCACATTGCTGCAGGCTGTTTGGCCTTTCACAGGTATTGAACCTTCATTTCGCAAACGTCAATACATCCTAGCAACGCTTTAGGGCCAAGACGTTGGTCTCAACGCTGACCTGGAAAGTATCGTTACCGGAACCCTAGAAGTCTTGAGGGCTGCGGATCGTTCGTTGCTCTGGAGCACCGAAAGCTTCACTCAACAGACAAAGCAGCACTCAGTAGCTGTTGGCCTCTGAGAAACTTTTGCTTTTGCGTGCACAGATCGAAAGGTAAATTCACTCGAAAATGGTGAGACGGGATAATCGGACGCGAGCGATGATCCACAGATGGGCGGCCCGGAAAGACCGGCAGGTCTAGCGAACTCGGAGGAGGATCTGCATGCCGGCCTCCGCAGACAGTTGGTTGGTAGAGCTCCCAGTCCGAGTTCCTAGCCGAACGGCACTTGGCCGTTGAAGGTGCCTCTGTTCCCAGGACCTCTGATACCTCCCCCGGCTGCATAGCCAGTGCCACCGTCGCAAGCTCCTGCAGGTGTGACACTCCAGTTTCAGCGCAGCGGCCTTACTCGAAGCCGAGTTCGGTCCTCATCGAGCGAATCATCAAGACGGAAACAGGATTCTTCGGGCCTGGCATGTCCCGGCAATCGAACAGATCAGCAGGGGCTGTGGTTGGACGCTGTTTCTGGGCCCCAGACGACTCAGAGAAACGCTCTTGAACCTCCAAGGACACGTGCTGACGACCCTCCCAGGGAGATATTGCTGGCTTTCCTGCACATGCCAGCGGGAGCACCTGCTCAAAGAGACCCAAGTCCTCCCGGACCGCGTCGAGGATGTCCCGAGCCATTCGCAGAGGCACCTTTCCCGAGAGCCCCGTCCCGTCAGCGTTTTTAGTGTTTTTAGCTCAGCATCCGCATCCCACCTCCGCTTTGGCCCCGAGGATGATCCGTCGAAACACCGGACTCCCATCGTCCTCCCAGCGACAACTGATGGCAACTGTAACTGAAGGCACAGGGTTTCATGGGCAATGCCAAACCCAACAAACTGGAAGATTCATGGGTCGACTTGGGTGGCCGTCGCGATTCTCGCTTTTGCCAGCTACAGTATAGGACTAGCATACTCGTGATCTCCGTACTGAACCCTCGATCCTGCAACACATCCATGAGTCCATCATAGTCCATCAGTGTGTGATTGCATGCCAATTTGTGATTTGTCCGGACGCAAGACTCTTGAGGTCATACTTTGCCGGCCTGTGACCAGATTCTCCCCTGTTTGCAGTGGCAATGGCTGTCCTCCTGTGCATCGCGCTCCTCCGACCAAGCTTCGTGTTCTGGAGGCTCGGTCGCTTCGAGATGGGCAGCGGTTGGTGAACCTGGCATCGGGGCCGCTGCCGTTGAGCTCGACGCGAAGCATTCTCTGCTACTCCCCAGCTGTTTAAAGGGGGCCGTCATCGATGTGGAGCTCGTCGAGGACTTCTTGGGGTGGCTCCACCTCTACCCGGCCCTCCTCTTCGTTCAAGTAAACCTGGCTGGGCTGTCGGCTGCCGGCACTCTCGGACGCTCGCAGCCGCTCGCAAGCGCGGGGCCAGCGGGATCTCCGGATTCTCTGGGAGCTTCCGCACGGACCAGAGGCCGACCCGGAGCACCTCACAGGCACAGTCCAAGCAGCATGCAATGCACACATATGCACACTGTCTGTGTTCTGGTGGCTTCGGCTTCGGCTTCGGCTACGGCCGCTCTTGGGCGCCTCCTCGGCCCTGCGAGCCAAGGCCAGGAGCACGGGAGAGGAGGACGCTTGGAGCGGCCGCGGGCCGCTCCTCAGAGAGTCACACAGAACTCGAAGCGACCCCCAAAGTGGTGGGCTCCGGGTCGGGCCGGAGATGGGCCCATCTCAGCCCTTGGCGGCTCCGTCGAGGCCATGTCCTGGCCACGGCTCCGCCCACTGTAAGCACTCACGTTCGCCCTTCCGAGTCCTCGGTCCGAGCTGCCAGTGTCTCCCCTGGCAACGCAAGCACGTTCGCACAAGGTGCGGCTCCACGGCGCATACACCGTCAGATTACAGAAGTGCACAGTAAACTGAAGATGCGGCCTCTCTTCACTGGATGTAGCGGGACGAGCTTGCCTGCCACCAGCACATATGTCTCGGAGTGCTAGAACACCCTCTTCTTTCGACTGTTCAGCAGACCCTTGCGCATGCACGGCAGGGCCGAAGTCGAGCTGGAATGCCTTCGCGGAGAGCAACATCTCTCGGGCCCCATCTCTACACTCTACACTGCCCTGGGATGCGCGAATCGCCTGCCTGACCCTTGTGATGCGCGTGTTCCGAGATTCAAGCAAACAATGGCAGAGGCCCTCCTCTTATGACTGCGGGCCCGACCCTGAGCAAATCCAAGAATGAAGTGAAAACCATTTTGCCGTGGCCGAGAACTTGAATGCCAGAGCCAATAGGCACTAGGTCGTCTATTAGACCCGAGGTTCGAAACCAGGGGTTTGTTGTGCCAGGTGGCCTTCCCTAAAATTGGCACCGACAAATTGAGAGGGCCATCGAGGGCCCGCAGACATGTGGAAAGAACCCGCTCCGCCTTACGGGGCTTGGGCTGGGGTTTAAGCGTTCATAGTCTCCAAACGCCGTGACCCTTCGTAACGGGCCCAGCACCTGTATCAGCGTCTCAGACGACAGGCTGCAGGGGCGCTGGCATCACTTGAACATCCTAGGGACTTCGAACAAAGATGATAAGATTACTGGTAGGTTGCCCGTAGATTAGCTACAGGTAACTGGAAGATCTGCACGGACCAGCTCTCAAAAGGAGCCTTGCCTCGTCATACTCCGGTATGGACTGGGATTCAAGCGACATGAAGGGGAAGGGACACCTCCTGCACGCGTTGCAAAGCGACGCCGCAAGTTGGCAAAGGATATGCTCGGTGGGCTGTGAAAGCTCTTCAAGGTTGCCCCAGATGTCGCCTGGTGGCAGAGGCGGCGTCTTTGATGGGAGCGGTGGCAAGCCTGAAGGCCGAGCCTGCAGTGCACAGCTGGCTGACTCCTTTCCCATCGGATGCTGCTAGCACCATTCACTCAAGACCTGCCAACACCAACACCTACTGCGGACTCAACAGTCCATGAAGGTAATGCCCCACGACCGACAAGAGGGCTTAGGGCAAAAGTCTCGCGGCTTGTGTGTCGGTCAGTTCAGTCTTAATCCCTCCACGTTCCGGCATGTTTCGCAAGTAGCCTGTCCCGGTGCGTAGCCGGTGTAGCCCCTGTCTCCTTGGCCTCCATGACCTGCGCTTCCACGCTTGCCTCGTACGTTCCGCAGCACAGGCTTGAACATTGGTCAACGTTCACCCTCCGCTGCCAGCTAGGTCCGTGGCTGGTCCGCATGAGTCAGCATGCCATCGCATGCTCTGTCCCGTCTTCTGTACGACCGAGGGCTTCCAATGCCGATGCTGCGAGTTCTCATTTGCAGAGCTGCATCTGAATTTTCCAGGCGCTTCCGAATCGAACGCTCGCTCCGTGCACATGCGTGACTTGCTGCATGCCTGGTTCCACACATTCGTCTTGGCTGAATGCTAGGCTGCTAGGACGGCATCGCCGGGAAAGTCCGTGCGCTGAGTAGAGCTGTACAATGCTGTCTTCACTGCGCAGCACTGCACCAGCATTGGTGAATCCTGCATTTTTCTCCGTGCCGAGCTGCCTAGCCGCTGCGAGCCCAGGTTACCGGATAAAGCCATTGAGCTGGGCTTCACTACGAGGCCTCTCTCAGGTCAAAAGCTTGCTCCTGAAGGCCCAGGAAGAAGACCACAGTCACGGTCATGACGTGCACAGTTGTGCACTACAAGGCAAGGCACCCGCAGGGTCAGAAGCAAAGTCGATGCAACTCCGTCTCGTGAGTAGTCAAGAAGATGGGACATCTGGCCAAGCAGCAAAACCCGTAAAGGCCCTAAAGGCACCAATTGAACTGTTTCGAAACTTGTCACGTCCTCGCCTCTCCCAGTCTATGACGCTTCTGCCGGATTCGAAGATCACCCTCTGGGCCTTTGTGAACTATCAGTGAAGGCACTCAACATCTCTCCAATCTCCATATGCCCTCGCCTTTAAACTGCTCGAGGATGTGCGGCCTAAGTTCCATCACACATGGCTTCGAGTTGAGGGCTGCCGCAACTAGCTAGGACAGCACACTCTAAGATAGGAACAGGTGTGGAAGCGCGTCTTCACGCATAAAGAAGGCGATTTTCGACCAGTCAAACAACTGCACACAAAGCAAGCAACCAACAACGATTTCCGAACGAAGCCAACTTGGCGGCCTGGTGGAAAGGGGGCTGCAAGCGATTGGAAATGATCAGCGGAACGCAGCCGTGCATGATGACCTCCCAAGCTTAACGCGGACGAACCTGCCCAAACAATCATCGTAAAAGCGCGCACCTCGATGAGACGGCCCGTATTAGGCGAGTCACCGTCGGGACAAATGCACAACCTGAAGACTTGGACATAACGAGATGCATCCACATAGCCATGAGGCCGGATTAGGGCAATGGCTTCGATCTGAATGCAAGCTCCGACCAGTCCTGCATGGCGGGTGCATCCGACCCTCAGGTAGGCCACGGCGCGACATTTACGGACCTGCTGGCGTAGTCTGAAAGCAGGAGGAAAAATGAGGACTCGGTCCTCCGAATGAAGACATGTTGACTGGGTCTTCTTGCAATCGGCAGAACTCGTGCCTTCAAAGCACCGGTCTTGGCGCTGCGCTCGCGCCGAAAGTTCTGCCAGGCAGGCTTCTCAAGATGGTTTTTTCGCACAACTCGCCTCATTGCCATGGCAACCACTGTAGTTAGAGACGGTTGTACGCCGTAAAAATTTCTACGCATATAAAGACCATGTAGTTTGAGGCGGCTCGAAGCATGTACACAGAATTCGTTCAATACACATACAAGACATACACACACACACACACGTACATACCTACATGCATACATACATACATACATACGTACATACATACATCCATACATACATACACACACACATACCTACCTGCCTGCCTGCCTGCCTGCCTGCCTGCCTGCCTGCCTGCCTGCCTACCTACCTACCTACCTACCTACCTACCTACCTACCTACCTACCTACCTGCCTACCTCTCTAGCTACATACATACATACATACATACATACATACATACATACATACATACACATGCAGCCACATGCACACATAAATACATATATTCACATGCAGATACGCGAGTGCATGCGTGTGTGTCTGCGCATATGTAGATGCACAAAAGTCTAAAGATGTATGTATGTGTGCAATAAATGAATGTATATCTATATGTATGTGTATATATATATATACATATATACGTGCGTGGGCGTATATATAGGTATTTGTGTGTATGTGCGTGAAGGTGTGCATATAAATTTTGTATATAAATACATACATATATATATATACACATATATATATATATATGAGAGAGAGAGAGAGAAAGGCCTGCGGGGTTCACACCACGCACTGGGCCTTCATGTTAATTTCTCAAATATCTCAAATTTCACAGCGTATGTGTGTGTGTGTGTGTATGTGTGTAAGTACTTGCATATGCATATTGTACGTACATGCATATGCATATGTACCTGCATGTGAATATGTATATGTGTATACATATATGTGTGTAGACATATGGTGAATGTGTCGCTGCGAGCTCGGCACCGCGTGCCGAGCACAGTCTGGGCAGCTGACGTCGTGTGTTGGGTGCCCCAATGTGCAACAGCATAGGTGGCAGGCATTGATCCCACCGGCATTCCCCTGCTCTACAGGGTGCGGCTGGTCTTTTGGAGCCCATCACATAAAAACGCAAGGCTCCGCGATGGCCAAGGATCGGCACAGGTAGCACGCGATCACCCCGTTCATGCGCTTGCCCCCCAAGTCATTGGCCAACTGCAGCAAGACGCTCGGCAACGCCTCCAATCCCCTGAGCTCTGTCGCGAGTTTGCAGGACAAAGCCCCAGCCTCCCACTGGCCCCAAGAGGAGGCAATCCAAGAAGAATCCAAGTGAAAACGGTCTTGCTCCATATCTGAAGCATCTGCAGCTTGCCGGCTCCCACGCGGGTCTGGGATGACACCATTCCCGGCAAACTCTGTTGTCAGCCTCAAGAGCAAAGCTAAGGCCGCCGCGGCAGCCGAGGACGGACGGTCCAGGAGGCGGTTCGCGATGGTTCAGAGCAAGTGGGAGATCAGAAGATCAACGGATTGGTAGGTCGGTGACACCGTGCACACTGAATGTTACAGAGTCAAGTCTCGTAAGTCAGTGTGTAAGTCGTAAGTGTGCAAGTGCGTAACACGTGTTGCTGAATGGTCAGCCCGACCCATTTTAGGATCGTCCATGACTTCTGCATGCTCGCAGGAACCGGGCTGGTCTTCTTACGAAGCCTTGGAGATCAAACTTTGTTCAAGTGCACACTACAAGACGTTCTGCCTCTTCGAAGTTCATCTCCGACTCAAACTGCTCGCCGAAGACCTGCACATGCTGACGGTGCCTCCACCGCCTCCAACAGCGTCATAAGCTCAACACCATGACCGTCTAGAAGCAAGCCTAGCTGGAAAGGCCAAGACGATCCGATGGAAGCAGGTTCAGCCTCGTGGAGGATCCCCCGAGAACAAGAGTTTCGTGTACCTGCGCCGCGGAGCTCAGCTCAGCGAACGAAAGAGCAGTCTAAAGCACTTGTGGCACACCACTGTAAAATGCCAAAATATCTCGATTGCGATACATCGCAGCCTGTGACAAGAGCTGCCCTGCCAAGCTACCTTCGTTCAAGGTGAGTCTTGCCGCTCTGAGATTCTCACCCGCTGGGTCCACTCAAACGCAATGACCCACGGAAGAACGATGTCCTCTCAGGCTGGAACGAACTAACCCAAAACCTCTTCAATTCGAAAAAAATCACACTTCTTGAACTGATTGCCTCTGCGCTCCTGGGGCAGGATCGCAGGGGGCTCCATCTGGCAGTGCAGTGCGCAGGAAGCTCCTCAGAGCCAGTCGCAGCCAGCGAAGAAACTCAGTCCCCCTATCACAAGACTCTCAGGTGAGTGGAAACTTTGAAGTTACCGCCCGATCTGGTCAGAACATAGCAGATCTGTGGGTTGTGGTGTGCGATGAAAACGCACTTTATGGACTGGACCCATGACCACTCCGGCTGAATCCGCGAGAATTCCAAAGGCTCAGGACAAGGCGACAGGTGTTGCCATCGGAAGGCAGCCCAGGAGTCGCGTCCCCTGCGGGCAACTAGAAATCAAAAACACTGAGTGTCCACCTCCAAACCACACCTGGAATTTTGAGGAAGTAACTGTCGGGTTGCTCTCGGAGCCACGGTGACATCCTCCAAGACGCAGCACCGTAACAAACATCGTCAGTCGTCAGTGGCCTAGTGCTATTTTCGAACTTTGGCAGTCCCGCCATGGGTGATGAAAACTATCTTATCTCCAAAGTGGGCGGCAAAGCTTCGCCACACCTCACGGACCACAGTTGCATGTTGGGCGGCACTTCAGCCACTCAAAGACTGCATGATCGTGCCCTTCTGTTCTAGAGCTGAATTTGCTGAGCCGTCTACGTGACGCGCGTAAATGCTCGCAATGAGGAACTTGCAACTAGCACGTTTCCTGAGCGACTTGCAAAACATGGTCGCAGCCATGATCCCAGCAATGAGCCGGCTCATCGGCAAAGCCGGCCATGCAGCATCATGAGGACATGGCCAGCAGTGCCAATATTCTGGCTTTTGCTGCCAAATCTTCTGCACCTCTCCGTGCGAGCATGCACGGGGCAGCTGCAGCAACATGGACGCGTGAGATGACGCGTGTCTCGTCGCCTTGTGCATGAAGTACGAAGTGTCCAGCCCTGGTCGCAGGCGAGAGCCCCAGCAGGAGCTCTTGGTGAGTCCCTTTGAGGCTACCGCTCAGAACTGTGGAGGCGGGGAGGTTGCCTTCATAACCTCAGAGTGAAAATTGCCTTGGTCTCTTACCGCGAAATGCCAATCCGCAGCCCCAGCACCTCCTGACATCCCCGGCACTCAGGGACACACCGAGATAAGTTTCAGCAACTTGCCTGGGTCAGGCTGGTTAAATAAGTGCTGAATACCAGCGACATGGCGCCCTGCTGTATGTACCACCCATGTGGTTTGCCACAAATGTGCAATAGTCCTTTCTATCGCTCCGGTTGCCAAGGCTACAGTTTCCTGTCCGCAAACGCATTCTTTCCATGTTACAAACGATTAACAACTCCTGTTCACTTTGCCTCAGCCACGGGCGCTCTGTGTCAGGCTCTTGCGTGTATTGCTTGAACACTTACGGTTAGCTGACAGCCTGCTGCGACTATATCGCTTCCCCTACGTCCTACCAAAGTCACACAATTGGAGAGTGATTTAGTCTTAGAGTCGTAGTCTCATGCATTCACGAGGGACGTCAACTAGAGCAAGGGCTCAAGGAGACACCATTTCCAAAGCGCAGAATCAGGGACCGAGGGCAAACGAAGCAGCGGAAGGCAAAACGAAGCACCTAGTCAGCTGCAGTGTCTGTCGATTGAAAATTACACACAAACACACAATATACAAGACAATTGTTTTGAAGCAGCAACCTGTCGACCTATGTCTGAGCTACGCCAGCTGTGCATGCATCACCAATTCAAAGCTACTGGTAGCCACAAGCAGATCAACTTCAAAAAACGATGTAGGACATCCGTCGGAAAGACACACACAATGATTCTTGCTCACGCGCTGATCATCTCGTTGCGATAAAGCACGACTAAGTCACGACTATGCTGTGGGCAGCACCTGACCCTTCTTCGCTAAGCTGCTCGCCTCGACGAGTTCGGCACATGTCCAGCAGCCTGTCAGTACCACCCGAAAGGAAGCTAAATGGTTTGCTCACCAATCCTTCTCTGTGCTACTTTCGTGATCGAGGCCGCAAAGGCCTGTCGTCGCTGTCGTCGCAAATCATCTTGCACGACCATGTGCATGAAGACCTCGAGAGTCTCATAGCGAGCATTGCGTTTCATGATCCTCTTGTGGCATGTTGTGGCTGCAAAACCGATGCCGACCTACCAGATGCATTGTCTCTTTGCACCAAGGGACGCCTGTGGCACAATGGGGAAGAAAGACAAAGTCGGCGTCCTGGCAGTAATCTCTTGGCCCGTGATCAGCAGAACAGAGAGCTTGTGAACCTGTACATCCGTGACCATCATGGCAGCATTCGACCTGTATCAATAGACATCAGCGCTTGCGATAACGCGAAGGTCTGAGTCTTCGACGAGATGACTTGATGGACCCAATGCTCCATGGAGTACCGAAAGCCTGGCTGACACTGGACGCATGCGACTCAGGCTCAAGGGCAAGCACAACTCCTGTCTGCCTGGTGCCAGATGTTGCTTGCAGCATTTTTCCCCCATCTGCTTTGAGAGCACTACTCACGACTCTGTCGAAACATGGAATGCAAGCAAAACCGTGTTAGCTTTCAACGCAACTTTCGCTCTTGCAGCTGCAGGTCTTGCGTGCTTGACTACATTTGCCCGGTCATTGGGTCAGCTCATCTGTCTTGACCCTATATTGTGGCACGATCACGATTCACATGTCATGACACAAGTTGTATGTGTTTTCGTTGCGACTTTGGAGACAACGCCGATGTGATCGCTCATTGTTTCGATACGGATTGGATGTGCGAAGATATGCGCAGACAGCAGCACCTGCACACGGGCAGGGACAGGGTGTGCGGCTGACTCGACTTTGAGATGATTATGGCCCGATTCGATCCGATGCGGCTTCCATACGAGT